GTATCTCCTCTCTCTGCTCACCAGACTGGATATTTGAAGATAGGGAGGGGGTTTTCAGTGCACATACCTCCTCCACTTATGTAAGCTCTAAAGCATGTAGGCTGATGCACGCAGCATTGTATGATGTATAATGGTGGGCTTACAAAGGCTAAGTGGTAGTCAAAGCGAAAGGCTGCCCGTGTGAAGTATTAGCTCTGACAATAAGGCTGACCATAATTATCTTAACAAGAAGACATCCATTGCCTCACCTTATTAAAGTTATTGCCTCTTGGTGTTTCCTCTTAACAAAATGCCATTTGATCACACATAGAAACCCCTTTTGTCTGCATTTTTTTTTTGAGTTGCCGAACAATCATTTACTTTTTATTTTTTCCTTTTTTTTATAAGATTTTCTTTGTATAGTTTATGCTCCTAAAAATAACAAAATTTTTAGGCTGACTAGTATTACAAAAAAAAAGAGAAATAAAATTTGTCATCGTTGGAAATCATAATAACTAGTGTGATTACAGTAACCAGGTAAAATGAAATTTACCATGAAAAGAACGACTTATTACACAATATCTTTACTTTTTTTCCGTTTAGTGCTACAGTTTCAGAAAGAAAAGTAAAATTCAACTAAAATAGCATTATAAAACTGTTTTTCTATGTAATTTATGTTTGTTTGTGTGCTTTTTCCTTTTTTTTTTCTTTGCCTTTAACCAAACCCCAGTAGCATAGTGATTCAAGCCAGTTAGTCTCATTAGTTTTGTTGAATGCAAAGCTATGTTTTTATTTTTTATAGGGAATGCACTTTTAATGCAGGGCTTAAACTTTGATAGTTCTCAGAGTCACACATTTAAACGAGAAAGCTTATAAAAAATAATAAAACTAGCTCTGGTGGTGTGCAGAGGGAGCAGGGAAAGCTGGAGAGCATTAGAAGTTCAGTCTCTGCACTGTAGCTAATGCTGAATGGGACTTAGTGGCTCTCCCCTGGCTGTGAATTTAACTGATTAAATCAGCCAGTGCACGCAGTGGTGGTGACATGAAAACAACAATTAATAAGGCTCCCTCCTGTGTCACGCGGCTCCCTTTAACCGAGCAGCTAATAACATAACCCACAGGACTGCAGCCCATCTCACACACACACACAAACACACACACAATCATACATCCACATGCACTCATACACAGTTGGCAGTGGTTTCTAAGCAGCCTTTGTTCACATTAAATTAAATGTTTATCCAAGGTGGTAGGAGATTTTGCCTAACTACTCATTATCAAATGGTACACAGCTAGATTAATTGTATGTTACTTGGAACTTGGTGCCAGTGCAAATACATCAACAGTGCTGAAGAAATGTTTAAACCTTTTTAATGTTTGCAGGCCAATAACTCATAGTTACACGTATGATTTAATGAAACTGTGTAATTTGGATAAAATCCAGGAAAACAGGTTTTTCTACATTTTTACGTGTATTATTCATCAGAGAATTTAGCAGACTAATGAAAAGTATAATTTTGATTTGTATTTTGATTGAACGTAGCAGCATCCTCCATTTAAAGATGAGAATCTTTATAAGATAAAAGCAAATCCAAACTGGATTTGATAAAACTGCCACCTTTCTCCATTCATCCATCTTGCTGTTGCATTAACCAGAGCTGATAAGAGGCTGTCAGCAGGAAGGTTTGCCAGCGCACTGACTATGGGCTGTCAGTTTTTGGTGTGTGTGTGTGTTCAAAATGTTGATGTTGGCTCAATCCGCCTTACATCCAACAATGCACTTACTGAATGTTCATTTCAAATCTGAGAAGAAACTCAAATTGTTTTGTTTCGATGATTGAAATTGCTGAACGTTTTATGCACTAGTAATTTTCAGGACAGTGTCCAAATGCAGCTTATAGCAGTGTTTGCAAAACATAGTTACAAAATAGAACAAGTGAAGAAAATAGTGTGTTAAATAACAAGTTTTTTTTTTTTTTTAAATGGGGTTTTGTGAAAAAGTTATAAACTATGTATATCTTACCAGTTGTAGATAGCTCTTTGAACAGCCTCAAGTAGGAGAGCTAATATTTGTTTCTGATTTGATTGACAAACTATTGGGTTGTTTGAGTGGGACCCATTTCAAAGTGATTTTTTTTTTTGCTGTTTTATAGCAATTTAAATCTCACAAATTTCATAGCGATTCATTCAAACGCTGTTTAACAGATATTCTGTCAGTTTTGCTCTAGACCTACACAGATATTTAGGCAGAAATATAATGTTCCTGCTACAAATGCCCCAGGCTGCACCAGAGGTGCAACAGCTAACGGCTAACATTTGCATATGTAAATACCCCAAATGTCTTTATAAATACCCATTTAAGGGATTTTTTTTTTCATGAACTTGACACAAAAAGTTTTGAAATGTGTGTTTGGTTGAATATTAATCCCTAATACTAAAATACTAATCCTTAATTGCTCCCCAGGCACTCAAAAGCTGCCCACTGCTCCACCTGGTTGCAGCAGGTGTGATGGGTTAAATGCAGAGAACCAATTTCATCATTGTATAGGAACAGACAATGATGTCAACATAATACTTATATATTTTTTTTTTTTATTGCACCAATGCCTTTTGTTGATAAATCTTGAAAAACGTATCAAATTGTCTCTGCCAATGCCAAAACAGTTTAATATTCTGTTGATTTACATAATCGGTGTTATTGTTTGCAAATTTGCAAAATAAATGACTTGAAGCTGTTAAAATCGGCAGTGGTTGTTTTGTCAGTTTTGGTCAAACCTTGAAAGAGCCACTGCAGAGGAACCAAAGAGCCACATGTGGCTCCAGAGCCACAGGTTGCAGACCCCTGGTTCAGAGGCTATGAATCACAGATGGAGTCAGTCTTGTCCTGCAAAAGGTGTGCTTTTGAAAATGAAGCGAGTATTTCGGAACAAAAAGCAGCAAGGAACAGGCGTTAGTTTCACTGACAAGGAGTGCAACACATTATGTGACAGAGGTGTCCCTCGTATCATTTTCAAAACATGACTAATTAACTCAGTTTAGCAAGCGCCTTTGTGATTAAGTAAATTTTTAAACTAAATGCAAAGTAGCTGCTCGGCATCATCAGTCTTCCCTTGGTGATAAATTTGTTGTCATTCAATCCTGCAACCATAGTTGTAAAAACCATATATCATCACTTCATCACATTATTAAGCCTCAAAGCTGGTTTACATTTTTATATGTGGACATGTGGATATTTTTCACCTGGACCTGTCATTCTGTGTTTGTTTCTACTTCCTGTCCTCTCAATCCCCATCTGGTCGAAGCAGATGGCCGAGTCTGGTTCTGCTGGAAGTTTCTTCCACTCATAAGCAAGTTTTTCCTTTCCACTGTTGCCTTTGTGCTTGCTCAGGATGGGAAACTGTGACCAAGTGAAAATTTATCACAATCTGCTGGCTTCTTTAGATCGATAAATTTTACTAATTGGCTTTCACAATTAACTTTTTAAATGTTTTAAAAAAATAAACAAATGATAAAAAATATATACAGATAAAAAAATTAAAAAAATCAAATTAGAACTGTAAAACCTTCAGTGTTGGTTCTGTCAGATTTACATGTCAATGAAGTGTCCTGGGACACTTTAACATGGCGTTCTGACAGTGAGTGATTAGACAACATGCCATCATGGTGCTTCTAGAAGTTGAACTTTGTTGGTCTATAACATAACTTCTAACACAACCTTCCATCAATTCTATGCCTGTGTTAATGTGTACATGTGTGAGAGAGGAAAGGAGCTGAGATGACCCCCTCACCTTGTTGCAATGTGTTATAAAATGGTACGGAAAAGGAAAATGTTTCCCATTAAAAATAAAATAAAAAAAATCCTTTGATACTAAAATCCCAACTCTAACCCATATCATGATACAATAGCCCAAAAAAAAAAAAAGTTTCCCTTCCATTCCATCTGTGATTGCGGGTGTATTCCGGTTCCTCTGTGAAAATGATGGATGACAAGTTAAATTTGTGTCTGGGGAGTGAAGGTGAACTGTGACAGAGTGATTTGTCTTGGGAATGGAGGGTTAGGGTCAGGCGAAACTGGGCGCCTCAAGGCACAAGACATTGACAAATTCATCCTGCTCGCTGCATTTCTGAAGCCTTTTGTTTTGAATCCTGGCTACTCACAAGTGACCCCCATCCCTCATCCTGCCAGCCGCTGAAGGATGCCTCACCATGCCAGGGGAGCTCAGCAACACAAATTCTTGTCATTCACTTCCCTGACAGGCACAGACCCATGCTCTCCTGGTGTGTGAAAAAGAGAGGCTGAAAAATGTATTTCTGCACCGTAACTGCTGATCAGATTTGAAGCCATAACCATTTTTTGCTGTTTCCTTATCATTACAGGTCACTGGCAGGCCTCAAAATGTTCACTGAGCTGGAAGAGCTGGTCGTCGACAACAATCAGCTTGGAAATGACCTCCAGTTGCCCAGGTTACCCAACCTGCACACCCTGACACTCAATAAGAACCAAATATCCTTTAAAAAAAGCATCAGAGTCCTTTTTTTATTGTGTTTTGATTTAAAATCAACGAGGCAAACATAATTAGGAGTCCTCAATCTTTAAATCAATGTTTATTTTGCAATCTTTCTCACGTCTGTGCAATCCTCTGTTGTCTTAAAGAGGTACTTTTGCAGGAAGCACTCTGTGTTGCAAAAGAGAGTAGAGGGTTTTGGCTGACACACAGTTCCACACACGACTAGCTTTTGAACCACAGGGACCTCTAGTGGAATCAGATTTAACACCCAATATAACAAATACCTTTAATCCTCAGAGAAAAAGAAGTATTGGAAAATTGCACAATATTAGAAAACAATTTATCAAGTATTTGTCTTTTTTTTTTCAATCATAGCAGAAAATAATGAGGATTAAAAGGCAGCTTTGCACCTGAATTCTTACAGTTTACCACTGACTATTGCACTTTTGTACTCTGCTTGCCAGCCACTGTAAACATTTTAAGCACAGAGCTATGCAGAGTCACTGTAGATTTAAGGCATATATATGAGATTTATATATTGAGGCTGTTTATGATCAGTCACAGAAGTGTGAACTTCCTCTCTAAACCTCAGAGCAGGTTCTGTAGCGTGTCCTGTTTTCCTCTGGTTATGCAGATCCCGCTGGGTAACGATGCACAGTTTCTCACACGTTCTAACACACTCACACTTCCAGAGTCAACATAAAAACTGGGACTCCTTGAAGTGTGCATCTGGGACTGTGTGCTCAGTTTGGTTGTGAAGTGGTCGGCACATGCTAATAGGCCAATTATGTACATCCTGCCGTGGCACTGTGCCATTTTAAAGCTCGAGCTCCGCATTAGTGCACTTGTATTTTGACACTTTGGGGCTCAATTTTCCAAGCAAATGTATTAGTGATGAATGTGTCTGCTTAGAGGCTGTTTGTTTTTGTCCACGTTTCACACAACTTTTCCACAGCGCAGCTCTGAGAAGCATGGACTATTTGAACCACAGGGCATCCATCATTTTGTCACTGTTGTGCACCCGACCACCTAGGAAATGAAAGAGATCGAGAGAAAGAGTGAGAGCAGGAGCCAAATTGTGTCAGTGCTATATGCCAAAGCCTGCACCTTAAATTGCCCCTCTGTCTGCCCAGTCTCACAAAGCCACTGACTAGCCTCTTTGAGCACCTCAGTAAATTTGACAGTGACGTGTTTTAGTGCTGACAGACCTAGGAGGGGCCGTGTGGGTAGTAAATGCTAATGTAATTAACAGCGCTAGGTCCTTGACATCCGCCCTTTGACACCTGACTGATATCGAGGCCCTGCTGGAACACTTAGCTGATTTGACCCCATCACTCCAGTACCTAAGCCTGCTGGGGAACGAGGCCTGCCCCAACCAGCTGGTTAGCCCGGATAAAGACGAGGACGACTATCAGCGATACAGGTCTGTTACTAAACTGTCATGATTTCACACTTAAATGAGCGGTTTTTTTGTATTTAGACTAGATATTTAGCTATGTACCCAAATAGATAAATAAGAAAAACAGATAATCTTTTGAGTTTTAATGCTTTAAGTTAGACATGTTTTGTAGCTTTCCAGCTGTAATAAATTTGGAGATGTTTGTTGTTTTGACCACCAGCCTCTGCATTTCGCAACCAGACTGTGGATTCAACCGCGTCACTCTAAAAGCTTTGTCAAACTGGCCTCTCCACACTCCAGTTTGCAAAATGGATTTCATGTGTGACTAGTCATCGCCACAAATGAGTGTTTACTACTCTGCCTTACCAGAGCAGATGATGCATTAAACATCAAGCCGAGCCTCGAGCCAGGCAATATGACCACCATTTGTCAGGGTCCTTTACATGAAATGTGATAAAAGGCGAAAAGCATACTCTCTTTTGTCTGTTTTAGCCCTAAGTGCTTGTTTCTGACTCTGTGTCTCCTATTAAACATTTACCACCCATGCCTTTCTTGAATAATCTTTTCTTCTTTCATTTTTGTCTCTCGCTACCCCCTCCCTGCCCTCACATCCCCCCCCTTGCTTCTCCTTGCATGCTTATCTAACTGGTGAGGAAAGCCGTTCTGTTTTGACTGACAACGTCTACGGTTTTGTAATGTAATATTCATAATGTGTCACATAGTAAAACATCAATTTGAGCGTGATGCAGATTTCATGTCTGACAAGGTTAGGCTGTGTGCAGGTCGTGACAGTACTGGCCTTGGGCAATAAATACCCAGCCCAGTGCCTCAGGAGCTCTAGGTCTCTCAAGTGAAATATCCTGGTGTGCCACATTGGTGACCCAATTAGTGCAGCGACATAGAAATATAACATTTATTCACAAAGCATTTGTAAGCAGGGAGGTTAAAGGCTCTGTTCTTATATTCTCTTTGTAGCCATTTGTAATATTACCGTAACACCAGTGGTCAAATACGAGATTACACATAAGTTTACAATGATTACTGGCTCTGGACAGTAAACTGAAACATTGTAAACTGTACAAAGTCAGTAGATGCAACTCAAACTGTTTTCTTTATTCTTTTTTTTGAGATATGAAACTGTCTTCTCATCAAATATTTTTCAGAGTCTCATTTATTGTAGTGATATTTAACACTTTTTAAAGCATCCTGCAGTCAAAATGACTACGAATAACTTTTTGCTAATTGTTTTCTTTATGAACAATTATGAACAAGAACGTTTTACATAGCTTACTACTTTTTTAAAATATATACTGAAATATGTAACTTAAAAAAATCTAATAAATGATATATGTGTTACTTGTTTGTTTTATTGCCATAACTAAATCAAAATTTATTTGAAAAGTATTGTAAATGATTGGATCTGTGATGTGAATCATTCATGCATTTGCTATTATTTGTATTGGACGTATATTTATTAAGAATTATTCCACATAACCCAAACAAAAATGTTATTTATTCATATATATATATATATATATATATATATATATATATATATATATATATATATATGTGTGTGTGTGTGTGTGTGTGTGTGTGTGTGTGTATATAGGGGTTGAACGACTACATCATTTTTAAACTTGACATTAACATAGTAAAACTCGAGTAGAACTCGAGTACTTGATGACATCATAGGATCTAAAGATACAAAAATAAATAAAACCGCAAAAAAGGTCATTATTTACAAAAAAAGGATCAACAAAACATTGGGAGCGTATATTATGCTCATATCACTTATTATACATCAAATAAGTCACAGGAAAAACTAAACTATTAGTTATTATTATTAAGCTGCAAAAGTGAAAGAAACATGCAGCACGTAAAAAACTAAACTAAAAACAGTGGGTCGGATGACCACCTGCACCATTGCCAGCTATAGTGAGCATTAAGTTTTGTTTTAGAGATTAATATGTTTATATATATATTTTTTTTATAGGTTTAGAGATTCATATTTTTTGCTTTTTGTTTGTGAAAAAAGGTCAGAGGAAGTTGTTTCTGGTTTGGTCAATTGGACCTGGTGTTACACCATATTCTGTGACCTGCAACAGTTCATGCAACACCGCCCCCTACAGTCACAATACACAGTGGTCACAAAATATGGTGTAACACCGGTTCGCAACTCGCTCCAAACAGTCAGGAAGTTGTTTCATTTTCTGTTTTCTTACGGTAGCTGAACCAGAAGATTCATCTTTAGTGAAATATTTCCATACTATTGATGCATTTCTACCTGTTTGTCAAGACTGGGCCTGCTCTGCTCCATCCGTCTGCTTGGAGGAATCCATTTTGTAACCCGCACCCGGTGCAGATCACGTGACACGTGATGCAATGACATAGCGGCGACGTAATGACGTCACCACGAATACTCGACGTGAAATTAAAATCTCAATTGGTGTCCTACGAATCGATGTGTAGATTACTCAAGTAGCCTGTTAAAGCC